GGGTTTAGGGGTTAGGGTTTAGGTAGGGTTTGGGGGTTTAGGTACAAGATCGCAATAAAGGGTTTCGACAGCTTTTTTTTGGGGGGGGTCTTTGTAGGCGCTCATGGGGCTTATGGGGTTTGCCAGAGGGGACGGAATAAACAGTCAACAGTTTCGGAGCTTGTTATAACACAATTCTGAGGTGTTTCAAATCGGTGACCGGAAGACTACACGAATCTTTGATTGATGGAGGCTTGAAGAACTAGGGACGGTATGCCCCACTGGTCCCTGCCTAACCTGCATGTCCTTATAAAGGCCTCAACAGTTCGAACAGGATCTCGACCCTAAGGGGGCAGTTCCCCCCAAGCCGGGATCTCATGCAATAAGCCTTAACTTAAAACTTCCCCCAGAACTGAAAAGGAGAGCCACAACCCAAGCCCCGCAAGCCTACCCTAAATATTCAAAGCAACATCTCCAACGGGTAATATAGGGGCCGTAGTAATCAGAATAGTGTTTTGGGTACTATCATTCTAAAAAGGAACACCAAATTAGTATTGGCCATGATTGAGGCCCCTATATTATCCTCACGGTTCGAGAGGCTGCAACCGGCCGACTGGGCTGCGGAGCTTGGCAGCTTGAAGCATCTGACCTGTGACGCCAGAGGACGCAGGGGGTTGCAGAACCCGAAGTTGCAGGCCTTCCGCTTTAAGACAGGGGCCTGAGTATTCTACACCAAAGCATTTAGGCATACTACCACCTAGTTATATGTGGACTCTAAAGGGAGGTTGCTGCTGATTCATCAGAGCCCCCAGTTGGCTAGTTTATGGATGAGCTTCAATGCTTGACGGTAGGTTTTTTACATAGCTGTCGGGTCTTCGGATCAAGGAGCCAGATTTGTTTTCGGATCTTTGTCTGCAGCGTGCATTGTAGCGTTATTCATTTTACTGGGTTGCCTTGCGTGTTATGCAGGACACGAAGCGTACACATGGGCTAGCGAAGAAGGAACTACATTGGAGGCTGCAGGTAGTGTTTCAAGAGACCTGAACCCCAAGATGGGTCCATCGGAGATCTCGATAGAGGTCTCGGAATTTGGAAAGCAACGGTGCGGCTCGAGCAGCAAACGCGCGAGAGTACCATTGTTTATCCCCTCGGCGTACCCTTGCCTTGATCCCTCGCCCTAGACCCTAAACCCTACACCTTAGTCTGAAACCTCGAGACCCTGCCAAGACACTGAACTTCTGAACCCCCCCAGTGACTCCAAACTCCTTTTGGGGTTCCTTCTTTTATGGGTACAACATGTGCGCCAGAAAGGCGTTTAAGGTTCGAGTTGTCAGGGTTCGAATTCCTTCAACTCAGGATCATGTCTTGAATTGTGGCATGAACCCAGAATCCGAAAACCCGATCCTTTGTCATCCTAAGTCCCGAAACCCCGAAGCCTAAAAGCCAGACGACCCAAACCCAAGGGACCCCGAGGGACCCCAATAAACACCCTAGGCACCCCTAGGCACCCTACACCCCTACACCCCTAAACCCCTAAATCCTTAAACCTGAAGCCCAGAAAAGGAGCTCAACAAACAACAAAAAAGCCTACACTCCTAAAGCGTAAACCCCAAGAATCCTCAAGCAATCCTAGGCTAGGTCCCATTCTCCGCAAGACAGACCTTAAGAGATCCCTAGACAATCCTAACTTACTAAGAATAAAGATCTTGCCGTATAGGGTTTAGGGCTTTGAGCCCAAGCGTCGGAATAGTCGGTAATCCTGCTGCTCACGGTTTCATAAACCGGCCACTGCAGAACACCCCCCAGAAGCCGTGATACTTCCCCTTATAATTTTACAATACCCTTGTGGAGCCGTTTAAGGGAGTCCTAAAACCCTCAAGCCCTTAGCAGGATCCCTGCATTTGCGGACGCAGCTGGAAGTGCGCAGCTTCGTCTGCGCGGGTGAGGCAGACCAGGTCGGAGGGGCGAGAGGGGGAAAGCCTTCCGGGGTTCCGGTGCAGGGTTTGGGATTAGGGTTTTGGGTTAAGGGCCAAGGGGTTATAAGTTATAAGGGCAATTTAAGGGCTTAGGGCATGGATTTTAGCAGTTGGGTGGTGTCCTGATCTCGGATGTCACTAGTCCAGACTTTGTTGGACCCCGCTCTATATGGATGGCTGCGTAGGGATGAGCCAAGATCCTAGCAGGTTCTAGGGGGATTTCGGTGTTAGGGGATTAGGAAGTGAAGGGTCGTTGTAGGAGTTGATGTCTTCGCTTGGGAGTTTATCGTTCAGGGTTCCATCGAATTTCGGATTTGGGGTTTAGGGTCAGGCACTAGTGGCAAAACCTTGTGGAGTCGTCTTGACTACGCTTTCGGATTGGAGCTGTGGAATTTTGGGATTTGAGCTGTGGAGTTTAGGACTTTACGGCAGTGTGCTGTCAGAGGATTTTGCGAAGATAACGTCGAGTCTGGGACAACAGCTGAAATAGTTTCCATTGAATGACGGCGCTTGCTCCACCATGAAGGCACTTAAAAACCTGAAATGGGATGTCCTACGGCACCAGTGCCCCGCACACCAAACCCTGCAGTAGCGACTCCAACGAGAATTTCAGAACTGTTCCTCATAGTCTAGGAGTGTCTGAAATCCACCAACATTCGAGGCAGCCAGGGTTTTTGTAGAACCCTAATGTAGGGGCCTAGATAGTTACCAATACTATGTTGGGTGTTCCTTACCATGATCATTCAGGCCCCTTTCTTAAACCCTAAGTCTCTGGCACCTGAGTGGCAGGAAGCCGCCGCAGCGGTCCCAGCTTCTGCGGTTGCGGGTGAGGGGGTTCGGGTCTTAGTTCGGGTGCTTGGGGCACTCGCGTTTCGATCTGTTGAAACGGGACTTGATAGCCGCTGGATAGACGAGTTATCTTCCAAATTTTAGTCTAAAGGTTTTGTTCAAGTTGATAGGGGGTTTGCTGCGTACACGTGCGGCTGAGCTGACAATCCGTCATTGCGAGGTTTGTTCTGGCTGCTGTCGCGGAGCCTTCCAAGCACCCACTAAAAACCCCAAGAGCCCAATCCACGAACCTTAAACCCAAACCCACCCCAAACCTTGAACCCGATACCCCTGCAGTTCCCCTATAGTAGCCCTTGTAGTATCCTGATAACGTAACCCGTTTTTTGTAAACTGGTAGTAACCTTATGGTACCCCGAGCGCTGAAGCCTCAACCGACAAGTTTACGTATCGTCAGGCACAGTCGGAAGTCCGGCGCACACCCTTTTTGAGTCGAATAGGATTTAGGGTAATGTAGGGGCCTTATTAATTACCTACAATACTTTGGGGGTTCCTTTTTTTATAGTGGGACACAAAACCCCATTCTAATTATTAAGGCCCCTATATTATAGGGTATAGTATAGGGGCTTAGGTTTGAGGGTGTGGGGTTTAGGCTTTGAGATTTAGGATTTAGGGCTCAGCATTCAGGATTTAGGTTCTGGGCTAAGGGTTCAGGGTTTCGACTCTTCACACCGCTAAACTCAAAAGCTCTGCTAAGGGTTTGGGGTTGAGGGCCCAGCGAAGGATTAATGGTGTAGGATTGGCGGAATAATTATAAGGTTCCAACAGCCTCAAAGGTAAACTTCATGCCGCAAACCTTTCAAAGTTTAAGCAGCAGCCTCAACCGCAAGCTTCATGCCAGCCCGAGGCATCTGCTGTCAGGCACGGAACCGAAAGTCTCATTGCCACAGGGGTGTACCGAATTTGGGTGTGATCCACATACAACGTCTGCCATCGTTTTGAAGGCGTCCAGGGCTTGAACCCTAAACCCTAAACCCTAAACCCTAAACCCTAAAACCCTAAACCAATTTGGGGTCCCTTCTTGTACGAAGGACCCTAGCAGTTTTCTGACTCCTAAGCTCCACTTTCTCTGGAAGGATCCAAGCCTCAGCCAATGAAAAACACCGAAGCCTTCAATCTTGAACTCTAATTTAGAGGTCGGCACAAATTCGGAATGATGTCGCCTTCATCTTCGCATAAAGTACATATGTACTGAAGCCGAGTTCCAACTGATTCAGGCCCCTATAGTAAGTCGTAAGACCATCCTGAAGTTTGTTTCGACAATTGCTGGATTCTAGATAGCATGTGGCATGGAGGTGTTGCGTGGGTAGAGCAGAATGATTCCAACAGCCCACGAATGGCTGCAAACCAGCCATAAAATAGTTTTTGAAGCCCCTGAACCCTTAAACTCTAAACCGATTGGCCAGGTATCTCTCAGCCTCTCGGGAGCAGCGGGAGAAGGCCTTTTGGGTTTGAGGGATTTCAAGAGCTTTGAGAGCACTTCAGATTCCATGTGCAGGCAAATGTCAACTTGTGATCCATTCTCATTTGCTGAGAATTTCGACGTTTAGTGAGCCAAGTTGCAGCAACTTGTAAACAATTGCGTCACACCCAAGCGAAAGCATAACTAAGCTCAACCACTCTGTAAACTCTTGGCATTGCCTGCCCAGACCAGGCACCCTCGGGAATGATCAGCGTCCTCTCCTACTCCATTGCCGATGCCTTCAATGATTCGAGTCCTTTGGGCCCGCGCACCCAGATTTTAGGCTTTGGGCTTGCCGTTTCCTCTGATCAGCAAAAGGTCTGAAATAGTACTGGGCTATAGGGGTGAGTCTACGGTTTTCGTGTGGTCCGCTAGCAGTTATCCTCTGTCGCCGACGTACTTGGAGGAGGGGTCAAGGCTAGGAGAAGTATGGGTCGGAAAGTACATGTACTGGGGTTGCAGAAGAACAGGTGAGCTGTTATTTGGTTTTGCGGGGACTTCCGGCTAACTCTAAACCTAAAAGCACTCTTCATCTTTGGCATGAGGCTTCGTGACTGGCAGATGGGTGTGCTCTGGTTTCTGGTCGTTAGTGCGGAGCTCCGTGTTTGTACTGTACTGGATTCATCGCTTGCTGGATACGAGAGACGCCGAAGAAAGTGGAACGGGAGATGCAACATTGGAACGATGATTTGGAGGACCCCCCTGAAGGGGGATGGCAAACAAGCCAATCTACCAAGGCTTACTAGGCTCTACTACGGTTGCCTGCTTCATGCTTCGAAAACTGATTCTAAATTTTGGCTTCGGGGTTCAAGCTGTCGGTTTCAGGGTTCAGGCTTCACAGCTTAGGGCAGCATCTCCGGTTTAATTCAGGTGTAGGGCAGCGGAAGGGTGTCGGTTTACGCGCTGATTGAACCTGTAGGGCTGTAGGGCTTGAGTACTGTAAGGTACTGAGAGATATGCAGCGCATCGAGGCGTGCAGCGCCAGTCGAAAGTGAAGAGACAAGTGCTGGTCTACCACACCGTGCTGCTCTCAGCTTTTACTATGATCTTGTAGAGGTAGAAGCTCATGAATAATTTCGGGACTCGAAAAGGACAACCCAGTTGCCAAGGACCCAGCCAAGAAATTAAAAAACGATTCCCTATAATTAGCCTACAGCTTCTTTAGCCCCCGCCCCATTCCTTCAGGCTTCTGGGCTCAGGACTCAGGGCCCCTAAGCTTAAACTTCAAACCCTCAGTCAGGAGCCCTAAACCCTAAACCCTAAACCCTAAACCCTAAAACCCTAAACTTGACACGAAAAGAGTCGACCCCAACTGTAAAAACAAAACTAAACTAAACGGTCAGTCCGGAACCCTCGACCCCAACATGCCCAAAGCCCCAGAGCCCTCAACCCCCAAACCCTCCAAGCCTGATGCCCTGAAGCCTAAAACCTTTAGGGTTTAGGGTTTNNTTTAGGGTGTAGGGTTTAGGATGTAGCCATAAGCCCTGATGGCCGCAAGTTCTGGAACCACTAATTAGCATACCCTAAAACAAGCCTTGGCAGAAGAGACCTGGCATGAGGAATTTAGGCCTTCAAGGAAGATACCTTATGCAAAGGATGTCGATCCCCCGTCCCCCCCCCAACTGCGCAAAACGAAATATATTCCTTAGTAGGAATATATCCTTATCTTACATTCCCTATGTCAAACAGCCGTCATAAGAGCCCCTGAAAACTCCGCTGCTCGACGCAGGACCTTATCTGCTTGCAGGCACCCGGCTGACGTCTGTTTCAGAGTCTGGAGGGGTTTGAGGTTGTCTTTGGGGCTGGGTCTCAATACTTTTAAGGTCCTCAGGTTTTGCGATCTTTATGGGGTTTGAGGCTTGTAGGTTTGGGATCTTTGAGGCTTTTGGAGTCAGGGTTTGGGGAGAGGCGTCTTCATCCCAAAACCCGCTCTCTTCTGTGTCCCGCAGCATTCCTTTAGAGCCGCATTCTTGATCTATGATCTTGCATAATAAGACTAGGACCCGGAGTAGGCCCTTANNTTGGGGCTCCCTTATAATCCCCTTAAAACCAAAAAGGGCACCCTTTTCATTCCTAGGTTACTCCTGGGTCTAGAGGATGAGCACTCAGTTACGTCGCGACAACAGGCAAGCTGGGCTCCTGATGGCAACCGGGCAAAGGCCTTGTAAGTAGCAGCTTTCTGAGACCTCGCAAAGCATGTCATTTGTTCGTGTATTCCCTGTACTTACCACATGTAAAGCTCTCATTCCAAGGCACCTTAAACACTTAAACAACGCCTCAAACAAGATATGCGTACCATACGAACAGAGATCAAAGCCCTCAAGACTGCAGAGTCGTCCGAAACCCTAGGCCACAAGTCAGCCCTAAACGACCCGAGGCCCTGAAGCCCGCATCAGCAGAAAAAAGGCGATGCCGCTTCTGGCAGCTGAGGTTCAAGAGATTCTCAGGAGAAGTGCCGGGGTAGCGCTGCAAAGACAGCGGGCAGCTGCGTTTTTTTTGGTTCAGAGCCTAGGGTTTATCGTTCTGGGGTTTGACGTCTAACTTCAGGGTTTGGTTCAGGCTGAAGGGTATTAGCTTAGTGACGAAGAGCCCGCAAGATGGAGAGGCAGCTGAGCCGCAGCTCGCCGGCAAGTGATGTGGGACTTTCCGAAAATAAGGGATACCTTATTTGGGGGTCCTTATAATAAGGATCCCATTATTTAGGGTACTAGATTAGGGTCCCCTTATTTTCGGAAACCCCCATGTGTCTCCTATAGTTGCTTGCAGGTTGCTAAAGGCTTCTTTTGTGGGGTTTCCAGGGACGACTGGTCTTTTCGGTTCCTCGACAAGGATTGAATCCTAAAGCCCGCACCCTGCACCCTTCGGCAGTTGCATACAAATGAGCCCTAGGCCTGTAAGATTCGTCCTTGTGTGGAAGGGTGGTTGGTGACGACGCCTCGCCCGACGATTTCCAGCGCAAAAGCTGCAAGGTCGCAGCCGCACCCTCAGCAGAGCATTCTTCGGGCTTGGATTTTGGTGCTTCAAGGGCTTGTGTCATGGCTTCTCGGGTTGATAGTTTCAGGAGTCTCAGGGTTGACAAGCTGTGTCTGTTGAGACTGACGGTGCAAAGCTGTTCTTGCAAGGATCATCCCAAATTCCCACAGGCCTACTAAACCCTGAAAGCCCTAAACCCTAAACCTAACCCGAAACCCTGCGGCTTCAGTGGCTTCTCCGAGGCCATCAGAGAGACCCGTCTTCCAACGGATCTCTGGAAGACCGAGGTGCTCTCTCTCTCTCTCTCTATCTCTCTCTCTCTCTCTGCACACACAGCCTGCTACCGGGGACTGCATACATGTCGCTACTATTCTGCTGGGTTTGAAAAAATATTTAGGTGTGGTTTTACTATACTATACTATACAAAGTATAGCATGTCCCAATTCTCCATTCACCATACTGTTGCCGGGTCCCCATTCGATTCCAGGGCTCATGAAGGAAAGCCAATTCAGCCCTGCAGGTGCGGCGTGGACCCGAAACCTCGAACCCTGGACCCCGAGCCCCAGAACCCTTCCCGCGACTTTCAGCGTTCGGAGCTGTAGTTGTCGATTTTGGGCCTTCCTGGTCTCAGTGTTCGCCCTCTACCCTAAACCCTAAATCCTATGTCCGAAGGCAGGATGCCTGGAACCCTGCGATGGCCTCGTTGGCTGGGGCGCCTTAGCCGCGAAAGACGCGCTTGGAGAGCTAAAGCTTCGCCGAGGGAGTCACGTCCACACTATCAATATCGATGGGCAGCACGCATGACGTGCCTTTTTCATGAATAAATCTTCAAACTGAATTTCAATTTTGAGTAGTCATGAAACCCTAAACCCCAAGGGGCAGAAACAGCCGTTTTGAAACGGCGGCACTCCTGAAGCCTGCAGCACCAAGCCTCTGACTTGAGTGATGCCTTCCACCTTCCCGAAGAGCCCAGCACCTCTTGATAGAGGACTATAGCCTTTTATCATAATATACGGAAAATAATCATCATGATCGTAGCCATAGATAGCCATAATCATAATCATAAGAATGAAACCAGACTTAGCCCTCAAAACTTAAGGCATGCCCCTTGATAAAGACTCGTTAAGGGGTACTGGGCTCCTTTGAAAAGGCGCCGTAATATAGAGGCCTCAATAATTACCATTTTGGGGTCATTAAGGCCCCTATATTATCCCTGAGGCCGGCATCCTTCAGTTCCACAGCGCCCGACGGTGTGCTCGCCAAAATCGGTGGCTGACTGCGGGACGAATTTCACCGCTGGAGAGCCTTATCCGAAGAGCAGGGATGAGTTGGAGAGTTTAGAGTAGAAGAGCAAGGAACCGATAGCTTTTATTTGGGGCATGATTATTGAACCCTACATGTACATGTCTTAGCATAAGAACAGCCAGCCTTTCTCCCTTCTGGGCGCGTTTCAAACCCCTTTAGTACCCCGAAGCTTCAGCCTTAGCTTCAAGGAATGACAGCGAGCCCAGCGCGGATGACAACAAGATGCCGGACGAGGTCTGGAGGCACCTGTCCAAGGCGACTTGGACCCAAACCCTAAACCCTAAACCCTAAACCCTAAACCCTAAACCCTAAACCCTAAACCCTAAACCCTAAACCCTGAACTTCCTGAATCCTCTGAGTCCTATAGCAGCGACCTGAGCACCATGTCATTCCTAACAGTATAATTAATTCAGTATACTAGGTGTGTATACATATATATATATATATAAAATCCGTATATATATATATATATAACATATTCATGCACAAATGTCAATGGCAGTATATTGACTTCATTCTTTAAGATCTGGCGCCACTATTTACATCGAAAGGGCCCCCATCAGGCAAAACACAGATTGCAGAAACCGCAGACCCCCGCAGACCTCCTTGTGCAGAGCAGCAAAGCACATCAACCTACACGCCCGAAGCCGGTTTAGATTTTCGGGTTCATCCCATTTTGCGGCTTTGCGGTGATATGGCACGTAGAACGTTGTGTTTAGATGCCGTTGCGCCCATCCAATCGAGCGAGTATGTACAGTTCAGTTTTTGCTTTACGGACTTTACGGCTTCAGGGTGTTAACTGTGTTTGTTCTTTGGTGGGATTTAGGGGCCTAAGAAGTTATTGGGGAAAAGACCCTTCTTGAGGCGCGTCCCATCAGTATCTTATCTCCTCAAGCGAAGATTCCTGTCAGAGCTACCATGCCATCCCCAGGACTCCCGATACACCTTGAACCATAAACACCCTAAACCCTCTCAACCAGCAGACCCATCAATCCAAGGTCAGCAAGACCCTTTGGCCGCTTCTGATGCGTGTCGCCGAGGCCCCACAGAGTAAGGCTAGGGGTTATTAATATATCAGGGCTCATCATGAGTTTGGTTTCAGGGTTTAGGGAGGCTGGCAATGCGTTCCTTCGCTTGAGATGTTGTCAAGAGCCCTTGCGGAAGCCCTGCAGAGGCCTCAGGGGGGCCTTCATAAAACCCTCAGCAATACCCCTAAGCCATGCACAAACCCCTAAACCCTAAACCCTAAACCCCGCAACCCCTAAACCCTAAACCCTAAACCCCTAAACCCTCAAACCCTCTAAACCCCCCGAAACTGTCGAAGGCCCCAAGTCCCGTGCCCGGTTTCTCCTAGCGGCCTGGCTGACGGAACCCTAAACCCTAAACCCTATTTTACAAATCATAAGGCTTTAAGCCCTATAAACATAAACCCTACAAAGTTGCCTACGAACCCTAAACCCTAAAAGCCCTAAACCCTAAACCCTGTACACCCGAATATTTCCTAAAGCCAGGCGGAAGGTGCCGACCTCGGTGGCAACGCCGCTGCTGGGCTCTGTTTAAGGAACTTGAGTTTTAACTTAGGGCTTAGGGTGTAGGGGAACTGAACTTAAGTTTTAAGTTACCGTAATAGGGGTCTATCGTAAATATTGGGGTTTCCTTATTGCGGTACCCAAAACTAAGTTCTTTACCCGAAACCCTAACTTTCAGCCCTAAACGCATACCCTAAGATCCTAAACCCAAGCCTAAGCTGTAAACCTACAAGTCTCTGAACAAGAACCCCGAAAGCCTACACCGTAGACCCGAACACTAAAACCCTAAACATTAAGATTAGTCCCCTAACCCCCAAACCTGCTAGTCCCTTAACAAGATCCTTAATCCCAAACCCTAAAGCCCTAAACCTGTCAAAATTAGTCCCCAAACCCTAAACCCTAAACCCTAAACCCTAAACCCTAAACCCTAAACCCTAAACCCTGAACCCTAAACCCTAAACCCTAAACCCTAACCCAGGATGCCTTCAGCCGGGCGGCCAAGGGCCTGGCGACCTGGCAGGACGCACTCGGCCGGGGCGCCTCGGAAGACGTTTTGGGCGAAGGGGCATGGGGTTTGGGGTTTAGGGTTTAGGGTTTAGGCTTTATAGTAGGGTTTAGGCTTTATAGTGGGGTGTCGGGTTTATGGTAGGGTGTAGGGCTTATAGTAGGGTTTAGGCTTTATAGTGGGGTGTAGGGTTTATGGTAGGGTGTAGGGTTTATAGTAGGATGTAGGGTTTATGGTGGGGTGTAGGGTTTATGGTAGGGTGCAGGGTTTATAGTAGGGTGTAGGGTTTATGGTAAGGTGTAGGGTTTATAGTGCGGTTTAAGGGGTGTTTAGGGGTGGAATGGGCGTAGGGTCTTGATGAAAGCAACGTAGTTCAGTCAAGGACAGAGGGGCAATGCCGCGAGAAGCATTTTCCGGATGTTTTTGAGTACTGCT